CTATGGGATCACTTTCTCACTCATAGCGGCACTTTGGATCCCCAAGATCTTTTTGGAACCACATTTTTAAAGAGATCTCTGGACAAATGGGGACAACATTCCCCGATGAATTAGCCCTACCACACCAGCATCAATGGTTTAGCTCCTGAACATGCACAGACCTCATTCTATATCTGTTATATCTAGAAGATGGAACCACTTCTCTCCTTATCTACACGAGGCACTTAAAGACCTAAACCTACAATGTTCAGTGAAAAAAAAAATGTTGGCTCTGAAAGAAATTAAATTCCATAAATTCCACAATAATTGGTCCAGCTGTTTGAACAATGTAAGCTGTACTAATATTACTAATATACTCAGTGCCGGTGCTAGACTAATTTGCACCCTAGGCAAGACCAGCTACTTGTGCCGTCCCCTCCCCAAAATAAATAAATAAACATTTTTAAAAACAGTAGAAAATATAAAATCAACAAAACATGAAACTGCTAAATTTCTTTTAATTTGCAAAAATGCATGCCATACGATGCCACCAGAACCAATATTAAAGACAAATCAGTTTCACGGACGGACTGTATCTGTGGCTGGCAGTGGCAAGGTGACAGTTGCAGTGAGTGGAGGATGATGGATCCACACTGACAGATCTCAGGCTGGAATTCACCAGGCAATGGGGGGAGATAAAACGCTGTGACAGCAGGCAGCCCAGCCCCCACACAGAGAGAGAACACCTGAACTGAGCGATCCTACATAGTGACAGATCCGACACAACACACCAACACTGACACAGATCAACACAGCACTGGAAGAGCAGGCTGTGAGATCGTGATGATGCCTTCACTCACTGCCACATTGCACATGGGATGGATGGCCAGGTCACACTCACGCAGACATCAGATTCAGACAATACTTTCCTCCACAGCCACTCCTCTGCTGATGAATGGGAAAAGAAGGACCAGAACTCCACAGTGATCAACAACCGCCAGCCAGCTTGCAGTAAGGGACTGAATCTGAGAGGAACACTGGAAGGAGTGGCAGCTCAGCTGCTACACTGGCCCCAGACACCCGACATCTTTCTCTGTCCTTTCTGCCGCCCCTCCTCTCAGCTGAAGGATTATTTGTGATATGGCGGGGGTACCGGTCTGTGCTGAGCCCAAGCGCCCTTAGGTGGCAGTGTACCCTAGGCGGCTGCCTGGTTTGCCTAGAGGAAGCACCATCCCTGCATATATATATATGTACTGTGTATTTTATTTGCACTACCAAAACAGCCATATTTCACTAGCACTTGTTGCTCTTCTGTTCCTATCATTCCTTGTTTACAGAACTACACTCTTATTACTCTTTGATTTGAAGAACAACCCACCGAAGACAACGTATTCCCTTCTCTAATGTGTACTTAATCAGTGTATACAGTTGCAAGAAAAAGTATGTGAACCCCTTGGGATTACGTGGAGTTTTGCATGAATTGGGCATAAAATGTGCTCTGAACGTCATCTAAGTCACAACAATAGAAGAATACAGTCTGCTGAACATAATACTACACAAACATTAGATGTTGCCATGGTTTAATTACACATAACATGTAACTGGACCCCCTATCTCTCCCTCAACAACTGTTCAGGTCAGACCCGCAACTACCTTCTAAATTTGGGAAGAGTATTAGTACTGCGTTATTTATTCCTGTGTATCGCTCTGCAATACTCATTTTACAATGACTCCCTCTCTTTACCTGATATCGCATTATATAATTACATCTCTTGACTACTAACCTCATAAAAAGAAAGAGATATTAAAAAACAGGGAAAAAAATAACAGATGAATGTGTTTATATTCATTAAATCATCACTAAATGTATTTTAAACCAGGGTAAAGTATCTGGATTTCCCTTGATATCGGCCTTTTGCGATTTTATTACAATAGCACTCAAGGCTGGGAGAGGGAAGGACGGCACTGGGAACCCATCAGGAGAGTTGTATGTACATAGGCCGACAAGGAGCATGCCAACCTAGGTCAGACCGGTGACCCACAACCTGCTGCTGCTCCGATAATCACAGCTAGGGGGCATGGAGGTGACCTAGCTGTATTGTATCATAGAAGCAGAGAAATGTCAGGTCAGCAGACTATAAACCTCATAAAACGTTGGGTGCTGCTCCAAGGAATGATCCTGTAATGCTCAAGTGACTCACACTGGTTGTAGGTGCCGATGCTGAGAGAGCCCATCCCAGCTCTGTATACTCATTTGGGAAAAAAAAAAGAGGATGACGCACCATGGTCCAAGAAAACAGCCTGAATGTAAAGGAAAGTGAGAGCGACTTTAGCCCAACTCCTCCCAGGTTACGGCTCTCACTGAAGTGTTTTGCCCGGCCCACAGGGCTTAGTCATATGGGTCAGCAGGCTGACTGTGCTGTATGAAGGACTGTAAATAAATCATGTTTCCTGCCCTGATAGAAAGGGCTGTGATGTGTGGCAGAGATGTGCAAATCTCAGGACTGGATGGACAAAAATACAAATCCTTTGGCAGGTAAAACAGCTCCTATGTATGTATTTTATAGCGGCTTGCCAATATACTGTTCTTATACAAATGTGTTGTATGTTGATCTATTTCTGTATATCTATAGTGCAGCCTTTCTCAACCAGGGGGCCCAGGCACCCTGGGGTCCCTAGAGCTTACTTCAGGGGTGCCTTGGCAAAATGTCTAAAAATTGCCCAAAACTTGTATACAAGCCAGCAGGTGGAACAAGTCTGTCTTTTAGTTACACAAGGCCACAGATTTTCATTGTGCACCATTACGACCTTCTAGCCGCCGGTGTCCTGACAACCAATGACATCAGTTGATAAGCAGGATGTCGGTTGCCTGCACAGCATCCTAGTTTGTCCCTCCCCGTCAGTGCTGGGGTCACATTAGCTGAGTGATGGAGAAAATTGAGGGAGAAGAGAAACACTGGAATACTAGTCAGTACCAGTGTGCGAAAGTGTATTTGCTTTGGAAGAATAATTCACCTCTAATGTTGGGTGTCCTACATGTGTGGATGTTGCTGCCTTATATAAAACTATTAGAATCGTTTTTTACATTTTAGAATGGGTTGCCTCAAGACTGTCCTTAATTTTCAAGGGTGCCTCAAGACTGTCCTTAATTTTCAAGGGTGCCTCAAGACTGTCCTTAATTTTCAAGGGTACCTCAAGACTGTCCATAATGTTCAAGGGTGCCTCAAGACTGTCCTTAATTTTCAAGGGTACCTCCAGACTGTCCATAATGTTCAAGGGTGCCTCAAGACTGTCCTTAATTTTCAAGGGTACCTCCAGACTGTCCATAATGTTCAAGGGTGCCTCAAGACTGTCCTTAATTTTCAAGGGTACCTCAAGACTGTCCTTAATTTTAAGGGTAGCTCAAGACTGTCCATAATGTTCAAGGGTGCCTCAAGACTGTCCTTAATTTTCAAGGGTACCTCAAGACTGTCCTTAATTTTTAAGGGTGCCTCAAGACTATCCTTAATTTTCAAAGGTACCTCAAGACTGTCCTTAATTTTCAAGGGTACCTCAAGACTGTCCTTAATTTTCAAGGGTGCCTTGATAGAAAAAAGGATGAGAAACACTGCTATAGTGTAACCGTGGGGAATGCAAATGGTACAATAAGTCTTCTCTGAGGTCACATGACCACTAAGACTGCCCTTCCCCTAAAATTATTTACCCCACATTGTATTTCTTTCCTTCTATTTTCCCTTCTTATATGTAAGAATATACAGTATTAGGTCAGCTACATACAATTCCGGTACAACAATATGACAAAGAAAGGAAGTGGAACCCTTCTAAGAGTCCGAAATAGTTTGATTCAAGTTACCCGATACAAAGATAAAGCCACTTGCTCCCGACTTACGCATTTCACTCCACATGAAGCTTAGTAGTAGAGTATGACTAGAGTAGGGTTCTCCACAAGGGTTCCATGAAACCCTATGGTTCCTCCAGAGGTTGCTAGGGGTTCCTTGAGCAATGAGCAATTTCTGACTCTCAGATAAGTTCCCAGTGACCTTTTTAGCTATCTGTGTTGACCATAAATGTAGGGACCACACTAATGTATCATGAGTTTTTCAAGGGTTCCTCTGTGTTAAAAAGGATGAGAAAGGCTGGACTTGAGTATGACGTTCTATGACAAAGCGCTGGATGGTGTGAAATGCGTAAGAGAGGAGCAGGTGGATTTATTTTCTATTAAGTAACTTAAATAAACCTATTTCAGACTCCTACAAGTTGAGCAACTCCACTTCTATCCTCTGCATCATAATTTTCAGCTGGTCGATGGACTGTTTGGAGGTTTGCATCCTCCTCTTGGTGCCGCAGGGGTGTAGAGTGGAATATTTGGGGCTGTTTGCAGTAAGTCCATCCTTTATAACAATAACTGGAAGTGTGTGTAAAGTAATCATTTTGGTGTTTTTAGTATTCTTTTGCACATATTTGTTTTAGATATACAGAGGTGTATTTTATTTATTTGAATCTGCATTTAAGACCGTTGCAAGATGGTACAAGGCCCCATCCTGGCTGGCACACGTTTACCTGTCTTCCTCCAACACATGTTCTCGAGGATATTCTGTCCCAGAAGACGTTCTCCATGGGTGGTGGACATGTCCTATGCTTACCCGGTTTTGGACCAGGGTCTTGAAACTCTTGCAGTCGCTATTGACCTGTTGGTTTGTTTTACTCTATCTGAAACCATCCAATCTTTCTAAATCCCAGTTTCGATTGGCAACTTTTTTGGCGAAAAAAACTAAAGCCCAAATCTGGAAACAGCAATTGAGAAGTGTGCCGACAGATCGATGTCTCCATTAAAGTGTTACTAAACCCAAAACAGTACAATCAGTCTGTGTATGCAGCAAAGCATTCTTGTTATACTCACTGTGGAACCTAAGGGGTTAATCCTCTGCATTGTGTAAAAAAGCGGTTTGGTTCTGTCTTCTCTGCCCCTCCTCTTGTTGAAATGACCATCTGATACAGACTGAACCCATGGTCACATGCACATGCTCTGTTTGGTGTGTATTGCTAGAGAGGTTTTTTTTTTTTTTTCTTGGGAGGGTGCATATGATCAGCACAGGGCCAATCAGCACTGTCCAGACAGAGGGTCAGAGGGTTCATATCCTGCTAGAGCAGAAAAAAAACTCCTCCTACAAGCTTTAACCAATGCTCTGCTGGACACTGATAGAAGGCACAAGGCTGCTATATACTGCTGATGAGAAAAAGGTATTTAGCAGTTTATATTTACTAAAATAATTGCATTTCCATGTTCTGTGGGAGACCAGATATAGTGAATGCAGGGTCCGGGAGAGCAGATATACTGAACTGAATGATGGGGTTCTGGGTTTAGTATCACTTTAAAGAGAATGTACAATGTCTTCTCTGTTCCTCCTCTTGTTCAAATGTCCATGTCTTATCTCCTGATAAGACAGACTGAACCCTTGGCCCTTCTGCACATGCTCAGTTTAGTGTGTATTGATAGGTTTTGTTTTTCTTGGGAGTGTGCATGTGATCTACACAGGGCCAATCAGCATTGTCCAGACAGAGGTCAGGGGTTCTGTATCCTCCTAGAGCAAAAAGAAAACCCCTCCTACAAGCTTTAACCAGTGCTCTACTGAACACTGATAGAAGTCACAAGACTGCTATATACTGCTGATGAGAAAAGGTATTTAGCGGTTTATATTTACTAAAATAATTGCATTTCCATGTTGTGTGTGCTGTAGGAGAGTGGATATAGTGAATGCAGGGTCCGGGGAGACCAGATATAGTGAATGCGGGGTCCGGGGAGAGCGGATATAGTGAATGCAGGGTCCGGGGAGAGCAGATATAGTGAATGTGGGGTCCAGGGAGAGCGGATATAGTGAATGCGGGGTCCGGGGAGAGCAGATATAGTGAATGCGGGGTCCGGGGAGAGAGCAGATATAGTGAATGTGGGGTCCGGGGAGAGCGGATATAGTGAATGCGGGGTCCGGGGAGAGCGGATATAGTGAATGCGGGATCCGGGGAGAGTGGATAAAGAGAATGAGGGGTCCGGGCAGAGCGGATACAATGAATGTGGGATCCGGGGAGAGCGGATATAGTGAATGCAGGGTCTGGGGAGAGCGGATATAGTGAATGCAGGGTCCAGGGAGACCAGATATAGTGAATGCAGGGTCCGGGGAGAGCGGATAAAGTGAATGCGGGGTCCGGGGAGACCAGATATAGCGAATGCAGGGTCCGGGGAGACCAGATATAGCGAATGCAGGGTCCGGGGAGACCAGATATAGCGAATGCGGGGTCCAGGGAGACCAGATATAGCGAATGCGGGGTCCTGGGTTTAGTATCATTTTAATAAAAAGCTCACTAGCATATTCCTAGAAAACCATAAGAAATGTCATGCAGTATGGACACCATGGATATGGTTTGCCCACCCTGCTATGCCAGTGGCTAGTTATGCTTTGGCACCCCCTTGTCCTGGCCTGGATACCTCAATGTCCCCTTCCCCTCTTCTTTTCTCGGCTTCCCCTTTATCTTCCACAATCATTTTGTTATGCCTCCTGGAGGTAGAGGCTTTCTTTTCTTTTTTCTTTCCTTTTTTGTTTTCTGTCTGATGTTACAGTTGGAATCAACAATATTACAGTATGGTCCACAAACTGTTCAATTTTTTTGGTGTTACGCATATGGACCATCTTCCTGTTGTCAGTTTGCTACTAGAATTTTCCTTGAATTTGTGAATAGCCTTGAATAGATTAGTAGCCTTCTGCTACAGCCTGTAATATTCCAATAAACGCTTACTGAAAGTAAAATAAAAATAGAAATTACATTGATTTCAACTTAAATATGACCCACAAAGTTGTTGCACGGTGGCTCCTGTCCAGATTCTGCTCCGGGGGCTCCGGGGCTTTTAGTTCCACCTTCGGAGTTGTCTCCATACTCTTAATTCCTTCAGCTCGCAAACAGTTAAACACAAAACGCAATCAGGTTCCATTCCATTAAGCAGTCTCTGAAAGAAATTCGCTAATGCAGTTTTATGTGGACAATGGCTTTTAAATGCTTACAGATTTCCAGAAGAAGAAAAAAAAATCTGAAGACAATGAAATGAAAATGTTAATTTTAGTTGCTTGTAAAAGATTCTATTGTCATTCCTCAGCACGCTGTCTGCGTACAAGTGATGAAGGCACACGTCTCTTTTCCCCTTGCTGTACTAATTTAATTTAATTGGCTATCTGCTTTGGTTTACTGAACAACTGGGTGTTAATGATCGTGCACCACTAATAGGAAGACTGGCGGAAATTAAAACAGCCTCTTCTGATAATAGTATGTTTATTTCCCGAACGCCAAAAACACCCCCATGCCTTTATTTGTTTTTGTAATGGTCAGGTCCGTGTGCTTATTACATTTCGGCTTTTTTTGGAGCTTTTCGTTAGTGGAGACCTTCCCATCTTCAACCGAACCATGTTTTGTGGTCGAGCTTCATCCGCAGTGATGAGGAACAGGAGTTATATCGAATGTCCATCTTCGAAGTTCTAAGGAAAGGTTTCGACAGAATCCATACTGGTGTGTTTTCTTTTTAAACTTGAGCAAACTCAGACATCAATAAAGTATATACAGTATATATATATTAATATATCATATCATATGTGTGTCATATCACGCCTCGAATATTATAACTCCCTCCTCATTGGTCTACCTCATCGCAGGCTATCCCCATTCCAGTCTATCATGAACGCCGCTGGCAGACTCATCCACCTTACTAACCGTTCTGTATCTGCCAATCCCTCCACTGGCCTCCACTCAGTGTCCTCTACCCCTCTCTGCCAATCCCTCCACTGGCGTCCACTCAGTGTCCTCCATCCCTCTCTGCCAATCCCTCCACTGGCCTCCACTCAGTGTCCTCCATCCTTCTCTGCCAATCCCTCCACTGACCTCCATTCAGTGTCCTCCATCCCTCTCTGCCAATCCCTCCACTGGTCTCCACTCAGTGTCCTCCACCCCTCTCTGCCAATCCCTCCACTGGCCTCCACTCAGTGTCCTCTACCCCTCTCTGCCAATCCCTCCACTGACCTCCATTCAGTGTCCTCCATCCCTCTCTGCCAATCCCTCCACTGGTCTCCACTCAGTGTCCTCCATCCCTCTCTGCCAATCCCTCCACTGACCTCCATTCAGTGTCCTCCATCCCTCTCTGCCAATCCCTCCACTGGTCTCCACTCAGTGTCCTCCATCCCTCTCTGCCAATCCCTCCACTGACCTCCATTCAGTGTCCTCCACCCCTCTCTGCCAATCCCTCCACTGGCCTCCACTCAGTGTCCTCCACCCCTCTCTGCCAATTCCTCCACTGGCTCCCAGTTGCCCAACGGATAAAATTGAAAACTCTAACAATGACATATAAAGCCGTCCACAACACTGCCCCAACTTACATATCCGATCTTATCTCTAAATATCACCCAAACCGTACTCTCCGCTCCTCACAAGACCTCCTACTCTCTAGTTCCCTGGTCTCCTCCTTCCATGCTCGTCTCCAAGACTTCTCCAGGGCGTCACCCATCCTCTGGAACTTCCTACCCCAATCTATCAGACTATCACCCACTCTACTTACCTTTAGGGGGTCATTGAAAACCTATCTCTTCAGGGAAGCCTATCCCGCCCTCTGCTAATACTGGAATCCTCTACGCTTCCAACCACTCCATCCCCCACAGTTTTACCTATTGTACCATTCACCCCTCCCTCCTAGATTGTAAGCTCCAAGGAGCAGGGCCCTCAACTCCCTCTTGTATTGAACTGTATTGTTACTGTATTGTCTCCCACTACAATGTAAAGCGGTGAGCAAACCGTTAAATAAATCCTGTATAATAATAATTTATATATATATATATATATATAAAAATATTCCAGTGGCGCTGTAAACAGCTATTAGCCCTCATGCACACTTGGTGTTTTTACAGCGGCTGTTTTTGGCTTTTGACGTTTTTTCTACAGCCAGTACCCCCCCCCAGCATGTTATCTTATGTGTCCATGCACACATAGACTAGAATCAACGTTTTTTGTCAGGGACGTTTTTTTGGCTGGAAAAAAATCCCAGGGCTAATGGGTTTGTAGAGGAGTTTTTTAGCTGTAAAATGCGGTAATCCACCACAAACCAGTGTTTTTGCACTTTTTTTGACCAAAAAAAAGCTAATAAATGCAAACATGGAAAAATGCAGCTAAACGCTAATGCAAAAACGCTAAAAAAAGGTGAAAAAAAACTCTCGTTTAAAGTGACATTACACAGCTAACGTTACCAGCGTTATCAAAACGTCCCGTGTGCATGAGGACTGAAGTGAAACACATTTTCCAATGATAAAAAAAAAATATAGCGAAACTCAAACAATCACATGATTAAACATCAAGCAATTGATGTGAAAATAAAGTCCATCATAACAAGTAGATGTCACTTTCAGTATTACAATCTTCTAAAATTCCCAACCCAAAATCACCACGTGCTCATAATAAACTCCTTCCCTTTTGGGTATGCACTCCACAGACCCACATGCCTTCCATTCTCATAGTCGGCATGTATCGCTTGTGAAAGTATGATGCCAGCGTGTAAACTTCAGAATCGCCATAAATCTCCTTACTCCTCTCCACCAGATATAATGGTCATGTAAAATGAGAGATAAACTCCAATGGTACAGTAACCAATAACAAATTGTTTATTATACAAGTAGAAAGCCACTCAAAAAATGAGCTAATAAAAACGCCTATTAAATCCCATACAGCAGGATACACATGTGCTCTCACCACCGCCGGATCCCACAAAATGGCACTCCCGTGTCACTTCTGATTCCAGTTCACAACGTCACTTCCGGTCGCTGCATAGCCTCACCCTGGCGCGTTTCGTCACTTACAACTTAGTCATAGGGATGGCTGTATGCAGTGGTGTATTTAGGTTTTGAGCTACCCTAGGCAACACAATAATCATCTTCCCCCATGGACACCGACAAACACAACCCCCCCTTCCCCCTCCCACGGAGAGAGCCTGGCATTGACCAACAACACCCCTGCCCCCCACTCGGGAGAGCCTTCCACTAACAACCCCCCCCCCCCCGATACAGAGACACTCATCTTCACAGCTCCGGACATCTCCGAGAACGAGAGTCAGGCTCTACGTATACCATCAAGCAGCCTGAAGCCTCTCTTGGATCCCACCTGGTTCCCATGGTGTACGTGTCCTTTCTTTCATCCTTTCTTCTGGGGGGAGGTGCTGCCGCCCTAGGCAAGTACCTTGTTTGCCTTGTGGTAAATACGCCCCAGGCTGTACGTACCCTCCTCATCGCTGCCATTGGTCAATCGCTAACACTGGGCAAAACCATTCAAGGTCCACCCATTTAAACAGATATTCCACCACATCATTGGTAGGTTAGTATGCTAAAGAATAAACTCAGACATCACCTAGCAGATATTTGTGGTTTAGGGAGACATTATCAACAAAACATTCTGCAAAGAATTCTATTTTTCTTTAGATGAGGTTCAGCTCTATTTGTCAAGAAGTGATTTAAATATGTCCAAAGCTAGGTGGAATCGCCCTCTCTTTACAAAACTATATCTTCGTGGACACCATTCCTAAGTGAAATACAAAGTCCCTCTGAAATGCGGGAACACGCAAATGAGAATTAATGTGCCACGAGAAATCACACAATTGTATAAAATTGTTCCAATCTTTATTACAAAGTTAAACCAACCAGCAGGACAAAGATTGAAGCATGAGAAGTAGTGGCGCCGCTCAGAAGTTGAATGTGAAAGGAATCGCCTCACCGTGTCAGGGTCATGTCCACGGCAGGAGTTCTGGAAGATCTGGCATTTCTGCCAATACTCTACATGGCCGCAGGAGGACACATCAACCTCAGTCTGGTGCCAGACGGCCTTTATAAGGAGGCTCATCACTTCCTCTGGTTGCTAGATGAGCTCTAGCTCCCCGTGCCTGTTTCCTGTGACTTCCTGATACCGACTCGGCTTGTACTTGGACCTGTCTGCTCTACTGAACCCCTGATCTGATCTCGGCTTGGCTAAAGGATACTCTCTCTCGCTCCTCCGTGTATGACCTCGGCTATCCCATCTGACCACGTCTGCTCTGATTCCCACCCGGTACCTGACCTTGGCTTGAACCGGTTATCCAGTAAATCTCTAATCCCAGAAGGGCTTGCATACCATGCACAGGCGCCACCTGTCTGCAGACCTGTCTCCGTGCACCAACTGTGCTTCTGAGTGGACCACCAACCAGCACTCCTACAGGCGACCTGTGCCACTTTGGGCCTGACTCCCGCTGTTCCACTTTCAGGAGAGTCTGGAACTTAGCCGCAAGGGAAGCCTTCTCTCCATCAGCCTCCACCACCAGGTACGTGATACACTGGCAGATATAGAGGAGCGGTGCCCCAGTGTCAGTCCAGCCACTTACATGGAAGGAGAATAAAAGACACCGCTCTCACCTCCCGTGCAGTCCCATGTGCAGAGGATGGCCTCAGCCGTGCCAAATGTGGCAGTGGAGGGGGGGGGGGAGGTAAACATGTGGAGCTTCTGCTCTTGCGTGGAACTCCGCTTTAAGAAATCACACAAAACACAGTTGCTTCCTTCTCTACATTTTCCCAACTGGTGCAAACTGGCAGTTGCTTGCCAGCACGTTAAGCGGCTGACGCTCACAGCGTCCACAACAAGCAAAACTTCTTTCTCATTAGCTAAAACTTTTCTGGTATCAAGCAGCCAAGAAGCGGTAATGTAGACAGCCATGGTCCTCCGCAGCAGGGCATTATGGGAAATTAGCGGCGTAGCCCTAAATTGATTGGCTGGATGAGTCTTGAGCATGTGATCAGAAGACATTGGCAGGATTAGATGCAAACTGGCAGTTGCTTGCCAGCATGTCAAGCGGCTGACGCTCACAGCGTCCACAACAAGCAAAACTTCTTTCTCATTAGCTAAAACTTTTCTGGTATCAAGCAGCCAAGAAGCGGTAATGCAGACAGCCATGGTCCTCCGCACCAGAGCATTATGGGAAATTAGCGGCGTATTCATAAATTGATTGGCTGGATGAGTCTTGAGCATGTAATAAGAAGACATTGGCAGGATTAGGTGTGGAATCATGATCTGCGCTGGTGGAACGGGGCTTCGCCTACCAAAAAGCACCGGCGTTTCCCATCTGCGGGATCTGCGTCCCTCCTCTTCATACTTAGTTTTATTTCTAGTCAGCTTCTATTAGTCATAACAGCAACATAATGGTACCTGTCAATATAGATTTAATCGACTCTGTTTATCCTGCAGTGTCTTGTCAAAGTAAATAATCCCAGCTAGGCATTAATGCTCCAAACTGTAATTGTGGTGGGGGGGGAGATGAGTCACTCACGCTAAGGTAACGGCACAGTCACTGGATCAGATGGCAGTCATGTCTGCTCGGTGTATTAGAGAGCGGAGAAGAGCCGGCACCGCCAGGATGAAATGCCTGATTCCCTATAATGGAGACAAAGTGATCGCTGTCTGCCCAGCACCGCGCCGGCCCGGTAACTATGGAAATAAAAAGGACAACCCCGGGAGCGCAAAATGCCTCGATTAGGTTTGTAAGTACATTGCTTAACCTATACGAACTGTGAATGGAATCACACAAAATCCTTGGGAATAATAAAAGGCCGACTCTGGCCAAAACTTGTTTCCTTTTTGGATAGTGGGAAAAGGCTTTTGCTTTCCATATTTTTAATGATTTTTCCGGTATAAAAGAGGTATCAAATACCGCAGGGTCGTAGTATCCATAAGCATTAAAGTGGTTGTAAACCTCTGAAATGGAAAAATGAGCAAAGTATATCCTTCTATAGTGTGTGATTGCCATGATCCAAAGCATTGGTGTGTTTTCTGACTGCTCTGTCATTCCTGTTATCTTAGTCACTTCTGACAGTCTATATCACAGGTGTCAAACACAAGGCCCGCAGGCCAAATCCGGCCCTCCAGGCCATTTCATGAGGCCCTCGCACCTCTCCTGCAGGTACCCCCTTGTCTCTGCCCCCACCTTGTCTCAGCAGTCAGCAACAGAGAGGAGAATAGAACTCCTCTGCCAAATCCTGCACCTCTCAGTGCAGCTGCAGCACCCCCTCACCTTTGCCTCCCCTGGTCTCAGCATTCAGCAGACTCTGGTAACTGCCTCCACTCCTCCTCTGGTCCTCCTCCAGACCCTGC